GACACCAAGCCTGTCATTAGTGTGCTCCACCTCACCCCACTCTTACACCCTGTAGTGACTTCATCAACAATCCAGATTTTAGTTAGACTGTAGGCAGATATTCCCTACCGTTTGTTTTCTCCCCTAAAAGGGGAGGGAGTAAGGGCACAGCAGCCTGCCATTGTTTTCAGTTTGCTCATTTCTCTACTTTGTATTTAGAACGCCAGTTCTTAATACACGGAAGGTCAGAGTTGAATGTTCAAGTCAACAAGAATAAGGCACTTCATTATATAGGGTGAGGACCTAAAAATAAAAGTAATAATCAACAGGTTTGTTCCTGACAAGGACTTTTTCTAGTTCAGACTGTAGACAAAAGAGGTTGAAAAGGATGCGTTTTAAAGACCCTTTTGATTCAGGTGAGTTTTTGGAAGATGTCAATGGGATGACGGTGTGGCACCATTGGTAAAGTGTCATTCTGCAACAGTCCAACCCCTAACACTGCATAACAGAGCACAGTGGTGCTTGCCTCTGATCTTAGCTCAAGGGATAAGAACATGGATAAGAAGTTCAAGGTCCATTTTAGCTACATAAGGAATTTCAGGCCATCCTTGAATACCTGAGACTCTGTCTCAGAAAGACACTAGCAAAACCAAAGTCAGACAGTATAGTAGCATTATGAGAATTACAGGAGTGATGACACTCGGTAGCTTCACATTAGCATATCCACTCACCCAGCTCCCCATCTTGTATACTTCTTTCATGACAGATGCCCTATACACATGTGTTCTGTGTCTTCTTAATTCATTTAAAGAGCTACTTTTATTTGTGTGTGTGTATTTGTGTGTTTCATTTTGAGACAGGTCTTGCTATGTAGCCCTGACTGGCCTATACCTCTATGTAAGAGGCTGACCTTAAATTCATAGAGACCCTGAGAGAATTAGAAGGAAAAAAAAAAAAAAAAAAAAAAAAACACCGAGTGAGGTAACACAGACCCAGAAAAATAAATATAGAATGTACTCACTCATGAGTGAATACCAGACATAAACCAAATGTATAACCAACCCCATAGAAGCTAGATCCCTCTTCCAGAAATGGATGAAAGCAATGCAGAGATCTACAACTAGCCATTGGGCCAACCTCCTGGAGTACAATTGAAGTGAGGGAGGAGCTATAGTATGAACAAAGAGTCAAAGTTGTGATGGGGAAACCCACAGAATCAGCTGATCAGAGCTAGTGAGAGATCACTGGCTCCACACTGACAACTGGGGAACTGGCATAGGACCAAAGTAGGCTCCCTGGATACAAGTGACAATGGTGTGCCTTAGGCAGTATATGAGGTCAATGGCAGTACATAAATGACATAGTGAAGCTCATTTCAATGGAGAGACACCTTGCTCAGCCTAGACATGGGGGGGGGTGGTCCTGCCTCAACAAGGTGATGGGACAGACTTAGTTGACAACCTAGGGGAGGCCTTATCCTCTCTGAGGAGCTGATGGGAGGTAGGGTGGGGAGAAGGAATTGGAAAGTGGGAAGAGAAGAGGGAGGGGGGACTGAGATTGGAATGTAATAAATAAATAAATGAAATAAAAAATCAGGTGTTCAAACCTCTAGTCCCAGCACTCAGGAGGCAGATCTCTGTGAGTTCAAGACCAGCCTGGTCTACAAGAGCTAGTTCCAGGACAGCCTCCAAAGCCTCAGAGAAACCCTGTCTCCAAAAAAAAAAAAAAAAAAAAAAATCAGAGAACCACTAGTCTCTGGCTCTTGAGAACTTGGGACTAAAAGTGTATACCATATACCTAGCTATTTTTATTATTTATATGTATATGTGTCACTGTGCATGTGTGCCATGTGTTTGTGGGTGCTCTTAGAAGCCAGAAGAGGGTATCAGACCCTTCAGACCTGGAGTGACAGGTGGTTGTGAGCTGTCCAACATAGGTGCTAGTAGTCAAACTCAGAGAATAGCAAAGAGATCTTAACCACTGAACAATTTCTTCAGCCCTCCATGTTACTTTTGTGTGCATGAATAACATGTATGGCACGTATACCACTCAGTACATATGAAGACAATGTGCTGGAACCCTTCCACCACATGGATCCTGAGGGTTGAAGTCAGGCACTGAACTAGGCCAGCAAGTGCTTTTACCTGCTGAGCCATCTTGCTAGCCTTTGTGTCTTCCTCTTTGTAAAATTTACTTATTTTATATGTATGGGTATTTTTGTTATTGTTATTTTGTTTTGTTTATTGTTTGTTTGTTTTAAAGACAGGATTTGTCTGTAACAGTTCTGGCTATCCTGGAACTTGCTCTATACACCAGGTTTGCCTTGAACTCACAGAGATCCTCCTGCCTCTGCCTCCCAAGTGCTGGGATTAAAAGCGTGCCCCATACCACCCGGAATGTATGGGTATTTTGTGTGCACATATATATGCATGACATGCATGCCTGGTGGGATGGATCCCCTGGAACTGGAGTTACAGACAGTTGTAAGCTGCCATGTGAAAGCTGGGAATTGAACCTGGGTCCTCTGGAGTAGCAGTCAGTGCTCTTAACTGCTGAACCATTTCTCCAGTCCCACCCATCATTTTTTACACCCGCTTGTTTATTACAGTGCTGAGAGTATAATGAAGAGGTTTATGTGCCCTACAAGTGAGTTACATCGACAGGGAGCACTTTTTTATTCCTTTATTTTATAATTTGTTTTTGTTTTATGTGTATTGGTGTTTTGCACAGTGATGAAGTCAACTCTTTGTAAGGAAACAAAACACAAATCAACTATATCAGGAAGTCTCAGGTAGTAATGCATGTTATAGAAGACAAGATGATGAGATTGAAGGGAGTAGTCAACAATATGTCTTGAGTACTATGCATACATTTTAAGAAAGGCATTGAACAATTTTGTTATTGTGTGAACATTATATATGGTAATTACACAAACCTAGATGGGACAGTCTGTTCTGTTATACACTGAAGCTATATGGTTAGCTTACTACTCCCAGTCTCCAAACCTGCACATATTGTTACTGTGCTGAAAACCATAAGCAAGCTTAACACAATAGTATCCATAGATGTAAACACAGAAAGTGTACATTAAAAATATGCTATAATTGGACCTGGAGAGGTGGCTCATCTGCTAAGAGCACTGGCTGCTCTTCTAGAGGATCCACATGGCAGCTCACAACTGTAACAGTTCAGGATATGTGACATCTTCATACACCAACATACATACAATAAAATTATTTTTTAAAAAAAAAATATGCTATAACAATGCTAGTTGAAAAAAAAAATGTGGGGTGGTGGTAGTACATGCCTCTAGTCCTAGCACTCAGGAGGCAGAGGCATGCAGACCTCTGTGAGTTAGAGGCCAGCCTGGTCTACCAAGTGAGTTCCAGGGCAGCCAAGGTTATGTAGAGAAATCATGTCTTGAGAAACCAAAAGCAAAATAAACAAAAGTGCTGGCTGGACTAGAGAGATGTCTCAGCTGTAAAGAGCACTGGCTACTCTTCCAGAGGTCCTGGGTTCAATTTCCAGCACCCACATGGTAGCTCACAACTGTCTATAACTCCAGTTCCAGTGCTTCTGGCAGGCAAGCAGAGTACTGTATCCATAATAAGTAAATAAATCTTTAAAAAAAAATAAACCAAAATTTAAAAGACCTGGTACATACTCAAGATATTTGTTGAGTAATGAATAAGTGTGTCCTCTATCTTAATTAACTCTGGATTTCTAGCATCCCATAGAGGATCTGTTAACATATAATGATTGACAGTTTTAACATGCAGGCAGAACTCAGGCAAACACATTTTCTTTGTGCAAGTTAAAGCTGTATGTACTGTTGTTTCTGGATGTATCGCTCTGCTCAGCAATGACATCACAACATGCTCCATTACTCTTCAATAAATACCTCTTTTAAAAGGATATATATGGCTGGGCAGTGGTGGTGCACGCCTTTAATCCTAGCACTTGGGAGGCACAGGCATGCGAATCTCTGTGAGTTCGATGTCAGCCTGGTCGACAAAGCTGTTTCCAGGACAGCCTCCAAAAATAGCCACAGAGAAACCCTGTCTTGAAAATAATAAATAAATAACAGGATATGTGACATTTCAGATAGAAATCTTTTGTTGTCCTGTTGTGGGTCCTGGAACACAACAGCCTCCTGCTTCTGCCTTCCAAGTCCTAAGGTTAAAAGAAATTCAAGGTGATGTATTCCAGTCATGCCTCTGCTAGTTTAGGAAATAAAACCATGGAGGCCTGGACTAAACACGGGAGCATGATGTAAAGAACATGTTATTTAATTCGATGGGAATAAACTGTTAAGATTATCTGAATTCCTCATCCAAATGCAAGTTCAGCCACTACAGATGAACTAGTTTAACTGTAGTACAAGTAGCAAAATTCGGATAAGAAATGGGGAAAGGGAGGAAATTTAGGACTGGCTTTAGGGGAGGTAACATGGCATCTCCCTGGTTCCTAAGTGTTCTCCATCTCTGGTGAGAAAGCGAAGAAGGCAGAGCTGCAGAATGTCTGTTGTTAGGTCTAGGGCAGAACATTCAGGCCTCTTGTTTTCCCATCAAATAATTTCCCATCTCATTGAACTGGCCGATGCCGAAGCTCTGGGAAGCCTGGCCACAGGCCTCCAGGACATTGCCATACTGCCTTGCTCCAAAGCCAGCTACCACACGAGGAAGGCCCGTGTGGAGTCTCGGGTTTTCACAGCCCCTTTCATCGGAGGGCAGCGCTGAAAGAATGGACCAGGTACGGGCAAAGAAGAGGAGAGCAGCCGCCGCCCCAGATGAAGGAATCAAGTCAAGGGGCTTCCCTGAAGGGGAGCAACGAGAAACCTCACAGACATTTCCACCGGCTGGATCACGTAGCCCGGCCCCGCCCGGCCCCGCCCGGCCCCGCCTCAATCACTCCAGCCTACTCCCCAGCGGAGGGCAAAGGAGAAATACGCCTGCGCCTTTAAGGGGCGTGGTCACAAGTCACGCCCCTTCTGCCCGCGCGCGCCAATAAGGGGAGGGGTGAGAGAGGAGGAGCCTGGTGTGGGGAGCAGAGGCGACGCGTGAGCCGGTGCGCAAGCGCAGTGGCAGGGTGCGAGACAGTGTGTTTCCAAAATGGCGGCAGCGATGGATGTGGATACCCCCAGCGGCACCAACAGCGGCGCGGGCAAGAAGCGCTTTGAAGTGAAAAAGGTTGGGTCTCGCCAGCATCTTCCTCAGGGAAGCTAGAGAGGCGTGGATATGGCTGGCAGGCCCCAGGACGAGCGAGGCGCGGGGGAAAGAGCTTCATTTCAGAGCGTTCCTGGGACCGGGTACCACGAAAGGAAGCTGGTGGGCGGGCTTTAGGATTGATCGGCATGATGGTGACCCACTCTCTGTGGCCATATTAGTTTCGCTGGGAAGCTAAGGGGCCAATCGCAGAACTGCTTACTGAAATACCCAGAGTCGATTTGGTTGCGGGAGCCAAGCGCTTGAGCTGTCACTGAATTGACTGAGAGGTGGGGGAAGGACAGGGTGGGGTGGGTGGAATGGAGACTCTTGGAGAGACTGCGGCGGGTGGAGGATGGGGCACTGCGGAGAAAGCCGGGAATGTGAGCTCTTACCGCAGAGGAGGCTCTTAAGGAGCCCTGTGGGTGTTCTCCTTGCCCCGCCCCTTCCTGGATCCTTGAATCTAGTGATTCCCGAGAGACCTGATATGGGTCCTCGATTGTATGGAGGCCTCCATTAGCCTCTAAAGCCCTAGTCTCGAGTGTAAGACCTGGTCCTTCCTAAATGTCTACTGCTTGTCACATAGGTTCTGCCAGTCCCATAGTTCTGTAATGTCCGGATACCATTCTAACAAAAATCAGTAATTCAAAAGCTTCGTGGGCTTTGTTTTAAAAGCAAGCCCAGAACTTGTGGCATTGAGGAAAGTGGGGTACTAATTGTTAATGATTTGGGAGCAGGGAAGCAAACATATCGAACGTCTTTTTGCATGTTTCCCCCTTCATAGTTTGCCAACAGTTTGGGAGAAAGGTGTCAGTTCCTACCTGAGAGTACATAAATCTATAGAAATGAAGATCTTGTAGTAGGGTAGATGTTTTCTTGTATATTTTTGGGACGTGTCGCTGAGCACACTCTCCACCCCACCCCCTTTTCTGGCTTCTCATTGTGGCCATTGCTGCTCAGTTACAGCCAGCAGCCATATTGAAGAATAGAAGTAATCGTGTGTACTTCTCCCCCCTCCCAAGTATTGTGGAAGTTACTAAACTTCTGAGACTTGAATTTGAAAGAGATGAAGAGTTGAGAAGTCACATCAAAATCGTCATTGAAAGGGGTGTCTGGCAATATGTATGTATAATTGCAGAAGCCAGTTGAATTACTTTAGATCTACTTGCTTACTAGAATTAATAGTTTGGACATATAAAAGTTGAGAATATAAGTTTTCAGTATAAGAGGAAAAGAAAATGTAGTGGATTCTACTTTGCCATAAAATAATCTGGTTAGATTTAAGTGATGACCTTGTTCTGTGTGACACTGGGTAGGTAACTAGCTATCCAGCTTATCCGTGATTATCCACTTTATGAGCCATCATCATCTTAGTCCATTCTGTTCACCTCCTTGCTTGTGTATCCAAAACTGCTGGATGATCAGAGACTTCTGCAGATTTCAAGTCCTTCCACAATTGCCAGGGAAAGCTGCACACTAACTCAAGTTTGTACTTATTTAAATCTAAAACAGGTGTTTAAAAAAATTTCTAATTTGTTTACATTGGTTTGACTAGCTAAATTATTTTACACCATAGACAGAAAATTAAAGTGTTTCATGTTTATATACTCCCGTGTTTATATAATGAGGAAGCATACATGTGGATTGCTGTTGTACTCTGATGTAGTACAAATAGTATAATCCAAAAACATTCTTTTATAGTCCCTATGGCTGGGGAGTTGGTAGCTGGAGCTGAAACCTGAAATCCTAATGAGTCTGTTACATTACAAGGAAAAATGTTGTTTCCCCCTTTGTCTTTGCAGTGGAATGCAGTAGCCCTCTGGGCCTGGGATATTGTGGTTGATAACTGTGCCATCTGCAGGAACCACATTATGGATCTTTGTAAGTAACTCAGGGAGGATGGGGAGAGTGGAAAAGGTTACAGAAATGGTGTTTGTCCTGATGTGACCAATATTCTTTTTCACAAGTAGATACAAAGTAGGGTCAAAACACTTGGGCACAAGCGCATGTCATCCATTGGTGTGTTTAAAATAGATTGTTTTGTTCTTGAGACACAGTTTCTCTGTGTAGCCTTAGCTGTACTGGAAATCACTTTGTAGACCAGCTGTCCTCAAACTCAGATCCATCTTCCTCTGCCTCCTGAGATCTGGAATTAAATGCCTGAGCTACCTCCACTCAGCTCCGTTCATAATTATTTTTATTATTAAGTTAAATAGTTAAAACTAATTTGCCCAAAGTTGCTATCAGCCATTTCAAATAGTAAAATTGTTTCTTGTTTTTTTTTTTTTTTTTTAATGATGTCTTAGAGGCATCCCCAGCTCTCAGAATAAATTATTCATTGTAAAGCCAACAAAATCTCATTTAGAATGAGTTTAGGAAGAGTTGCTGTTTCTTCCCATCTTACACAGACACAAAGGCAAAAACAGTGAAAGAAAATGACCTTTGAAGGTAGATATAGCCGTGCATGCCTATAATCCCAGCATTTGGGAGGCAGTGGCAGGAGTATTATGGCAAATTACAGGCCAGCCAGGGCTAAAGTTTGAGCTTCAGTACTCTCACCTGAGCTAGCTTTTGTTGGGCAAGATTTCTAGTGACAGGCTGGAGGGATGGTTAAGTAGCAGTTAAGAGCACTGGCTACTTTCCCAGAGGTCCCAGGTTTATTTCTTAGCAGTCACATGGAGGCATAATAAGGTCTATCACTTCAGTCTCAGGGTATTCAGATATACTCTGGTGCAGGCTAAACACCCATACACATTAAATAAGTAAATAAATTATAAAGTAAATTTACAGTCAGCCATGTGTATTCTAAAATTCTGTATTTGCTGGTCCAAACAGCATCTCTGTGTGTGTCTTTGTGTGTGGGGTGTGTGTGTATGATACATGTGTGTATATTCCCCCACACATATTCTTCACATTTACACATGTACACATAGGCTACTGGCAATTCTCTCAGATATTCCTAAGAATATGCCATAGTACCCCTTTATGTTTATCTTTTAATCAGGTGGTTCTCTTTTTTAACCATGTTATTTACTTCTCTAACATGTTGCCTAATACATACTAAAATTGCACTGAATATTTGCTAGATGAATAACAAAAAAAACAAATGGTGTAACACCCTGTGATCACTACAACTTGGAAAGCATGAATCAAAAGATTTGTGTTGAAAAGCACATGTGCCATGTGTTGGTAGTTGTTGATGACTCAGAGTTTCTTTGAACTTTGACCTTTTCTTTATTTATGCTACAGTGAAAGCAGTTCAGCAGCTGCCATGGTTAATAGAGGTGGGAGGAGCCCATCACAGAAACAGGGCAGCTTTAATATAAGTGGAGTTTCTGCTTGTGTAAATGCCAGTCTCTGTCCCTTGTATATTCATAAGTTGTACTAGAGAAGATCTTCCTTGGAACTCTCATCCTTTTTAACTTCCTTATTTGTGTCTCTACATTCCAGAAAACATATTTCTTGGGAGGACAAAAGAGCTCTAGTATGTTCTTTTCCCCCCTAGATACTTACGTTGTCTAATAATGTGGGGTGTGTGTTTTGTTTTTGTTTTTTGTTTGTTTGTCTGAAGCTTTGGCGCTTGTTCTGGAACTTGATCTGTGTGCCACCACCTTCCCCAGTTTGTATAGAAATTTTGAGTTGTGGTGGCCTACACTTAATCCCAGCACTCAGGAGACAGAGGCAGGTGGATCTTTGTGATTTCGAGACCAGCCTGGTCTACAAGAACAAGAGCTAGTTCCAGGACAGGCTCCAAAGCCACAGAGAAGCCCTGTCTTGAACCCCCCCCACACACACACACCAAAAGAAAAGAAAGAAATTTTAGTGTGTATGTATATGATCTATCTGCATGTATGCCAAAAGAGGACATCAGATCCCGTTAGAGATGGTTGTGAGCCTTTATGTGAGATCTCAAAATTGAACTCAGGACCTCTGGAAGAGCAGCCAATGTTCTTAATCCCTGAGCCATCTCTTCAGCCCCTTGTTTTTGTTCTGTGTAGCCCTGGCTATCCTGGAACTTGCTCTATAGACCAGGGTGGCCTTGAACTCATATCTTCCTGCCTCTGGGGTTAAGTGCCCTGTTTATTTATTTATTTTTTTAGGATTTTTGTTGTTTTGTTTTGGGGTTTTGCTTTCTTTTGAAATTGTGCATACCCAGACTGACTTTAAATTCATGATCCTCCTGCCTCTGCTTCCCTCATTATGTTCAAAATGTCACACGAGATAAAATGTCAAACTTATATAACAAAAACCTGTGACATATCAGTATAATGGTATTTACTTGAAATCCCAGTGCTTTTATGGTTTCTATTGCTGTGAAGAGATAACCATGACCACAGTAACTCTTTTTTTTTTTTTTTTTTTTTTTTTTTCCTCTCAAGACAGGGTTTCTCTGTGTAATGGTTATGGGTGTCCTGGAACTCATTCTGTAGGCCAGACTAGCCTTAAACTCAGAGATCCACCAGCCTCTGTCTCTTAAATACTAGAATTAAAGGCAAGCACCACCACCATCCAGCTATGACCACAGCAGCTCTTCTAAGGAAAACATTTAATTGGGGTGGCTGGCTTACAGTTTCAGAGATTCAGTCCATTATCATGTCAGGGAGCATGGCTGCAGGCTGGCAGATACGGTGCTGGAGGAGTAACTGAGTCCTACATCTTTCAGGCAACAAGAAGTTGACTCAGACACTGGATGATATTCTGACATAGGAAACCTAAAAGCCCACCCCAGCAGTGACACACTTCCTCCAGCAAGGGCATACCCACTCCAAAACCACACCTCCTAATAATGCCACACCCTATAAGAGTATGGGGACCAATTACATTCAAACTACCATAGTGGTAGAACCAGGAGGATCAAGAGTTCAAAGTCATCCTTGGCTACATAACACATTCAAGGCAGCTTGATTATATATAGAGTATATATAATTGTGTGTGTGTGAGAGAGAGACTGAGACTGGTGAGTGGCTTGGTGGTTCCTTCTGCCTCCACCTCTGAACTACTAGGATAAAAGGTATGCACCACTATGTCAGTCTTCATGGGAGGGTTGTTGTTTGGTTTTGCTTGAGACAGGATCTCACTGTACAGTCCAGGCTGACCAGGAACTCAACAGATACCTGACAGCCTTTGCCTCGTGAGTACTTGGATTTCCGGCATGAGCCCCAGGCCTAGCCCCAGTGACTTCTTCACACTGGCTGTGCTGCTGTAGTAACTGAACAGCAGCAGTCCTGTGATTTCAGAACCTTGGCCTCTTGTGTCTCTGAGGAGTCGGGGAAAGACCAGCCTTAAGACCAGATGTACCAGTAATGCCTCTGGGTTTCTGCTTATCATCTGCTAGTCTGATAGAATTGTACTAGAATAAATAGTCTCTCCTAAACTTTTTGTTTTTCTGAAGGGAGACTTTGGTGCCATCATCAATAGTACTTCATAAATGCAATGCCACTTTTCCTGCTTTGTCCATCTTAGAAATTATTAGAGAGAATAAATAAGTAGCGTCATGCTCCCTGAGACCCTCCTGCCTCTGCCTCCCAAGTCCTGGGATTATAGGTGTGAGCCACCATACAGCCCTCTCCATGTTTTTCACATCCATTGAAAATGGTTAATGGCCAGTTATCCACTTCAGGACCTGGCTGACTGGGTTGGAACCTGCTGCCCGCAGGTCCAGTAATGCTTTTGCTCTTGTTCCCACAGGCATTGAATGTCAGGCCAACCAGGCGTCTGCTACTTCCGAAGAATGTACTGTTGCATGGGGAGTCTGTAATGTAAGGAAACATCTTTACCTATCTGAATGGCTTGTCCTTGCTTTGCCTGTCTTGAAAATTATTAGGGGAAAAAAATGAGTAGCCCATCTTTCTCCCAAAAGATATACAAATAATAAAAACAGATTTTAAATCCTTATAGTATTTACCTTTAACCAACTAGTGTGTTTTAGTTATTATTAAATCAGCCTACTTTCCTATGTAGTGTTTGAGTACTCAGCCACCTTTAGGGCTGAGTTATCTTCAGTTGAAAACAGTCTTAAGAGAGTATCTGCATGTCCTCAGCAGACCTTTTAAGAGAAGTGTCTGGGATGAGGTTTGGTGAATGAGTTGAGTGTTAAAGTGTCAGTTCTCTGTGTTTAAGTTAGATTTTGTGCAGTGGTTTTGTGTGTGCTTTATGGCTCCTGCCAGAAATATTTAACACAGCAATATTGGACTGGACATACAGTCTTGTAGGGTGTGACAGCTGTGAAGAAGAGACAACAAATATATTCTAGCATGTCAAAATTCATCTATAGAACCATAGTCTTAGTTACATGAGCTAATAATTGTCCTGACTGTTCAGGCTGTGTGGATACACACGGAGTCACATCTTCCTGTTTCTGTCTTACTAGCTAAGTGACTTTGTCAGAACATTTAACATCTCTAATCCTGGGTTCCCTCAGGTAAAATTAGGCTAATAATGAAAGTGTAAACAGGACTGAATGATTTTTAAAAGTGCTTAAAGAACCAGTGAGATGGCTCAGGGGATAAGGGGTCTTGCTGCCAAGCCTTATGTCCTCAACTTGAGTTCTACGACACATATGGTAGAAGAAGGGAGAACTGATTCCCACAAGTTGTTTTAATTTACATGTACAACCCAAAGCAAGTAAATGGTTTTTGTTTTTTATTTTCAGACAGAGTTTGTCTGTGTAGTTTTGAAGCCTGTCTTAGACCAGACTAGCTCAAACTTCATTTTTTTAAAAGTTTTATTTATTTAATGTAGATTGGGGTTTCACCTGCATGTATATCTGTATGAGGGTGTCAGATCCCCTGGAACTTGGGTTACAGACAGTTGTGATCTGCCATGTGGGAGCTGGGAATTGAACCAAGTCCTTTGGAAGAACAGCCAGTGCTCTTAATCTCTTGAGCTATCTTTTTAGCCCCCTCAAACAAACGTACTCCCAGTACATAATAAGAAGAAATATTTGTTAAGAAAGCTATAGAGAAGGGCTGGAGAGATGGCTCAGAGGTTAAGAGCACTGGTTACTCATCCAGAAGGTTCAACTCCCAGCACCTGGTGCCCTCTTCTGGCATGCAGGCAGAACACTGTATACATACAGAATAAATAAATAAGTCTTTAAAACGTTTTTTAAAAAGCTACAGAGGCTCTTTCCAGATCTCTCTCTGTCTCAGCTCTCCTCTCCATTCTTTTTCCAGATCTTTCTGCTGTTCCTCTGGGGCAGTCAGGACTTTTCCTGTCTTCCTCTTTTCTTCTGTCCTCTCTCTCTCTCTGTTTCTTTGTCTCTTTACCTCTTTCCTTCCCCCTCCCTCCCTTTCTAATAAAACTTCTCACAAAGAAGAAGCTGCTACAGATAAGTGGTGACATATGCCTTTAATCCCAGCACTCAAGAGGCAGAGCCAGGTCAGCCTGACTGAGTTCAAGGCCAGCCTGGTCTACACAGCTAAGTTCCAGGTCTATACAGAGAAACCCAGATTCAAAAATAAACAAAAAAGAAAGCTAATTGAGGGGTCAGGAGTTAAGGGCACATACTGCTGTTTCAGAACCCAAGTCCAGTTCCCAGCCTCCACCATTGCAGGCTGCTCAAGATCATCTGTGATTCCAGCTGGGGGAACTGGGCACCTCTGGCCTCTGCAGGCACGTGCACATGACCTCAGTAGGCACACATACATATAATTAAAAATAATGATCTTTAAAAGGAAGCTAAATGAATATAGATTTGGGGATGACCCTTACTAGTACTCCAAGCTTCACTTTGGCCACTTCACAGACCTCATTAGGCAAAGATGATGTTAAACATTCATGGAGATAGAGGAAACACACCAGGTGCTTTGCCCTCACCACCTTGAGACTAAAGTTGATATTCTTCTGTATGAAGGGCAAGGTGAGCCTGCTGAGGTGCTTCACTGGATAAAGTGCTTAGTGACAAGCTTGACAATCAAAGTTTAGGCTATGGAGCCCCCATAGTAGGAGAGATGCCACTCCACAAATTAATTATCTCCATGTGAACGCCATGCATACTTGTGCTCACAAACATAAACACAAATAAATGTAATTTTTACATTTTTATTTATTTAGACACTCAGTTTGTAGCTCCATATGGTCTGGAACTCAGATCTGCCTGTGTCTGCCTGTGCTGAGATTAAAGTCATGTGCCACCACACAGGGCTTTTATCTAAATTAAAGAATTTTAAAACCAGGTATAATGATCTATGTCTTTAACCCATATCTATGTCTTTAACTCAGGAGGTAGAGACAAGTGGATTCCCCAAGTTTGAGGAGCCCCAACTTTGTTACCATGGCTACACGGAAAAACCCTGTCTTGAAAAAAAACAAAAAAATTTTTTTGTTGTTGTTATTATTGTTGTCTCGAGATAGGGTTTCTCTGTATTGCTTTGGAACCTGTCCTGGAACTCATCTGTAGACCAGGCTGGCCTTGAACTCAGAGAGATCTGCCTGCCTCTTCCTCCTGAGTGCTGGGACTTAAGGCATGTGCCACCAACGGCAGAACATTTCTTTAATGAAAAATTTAGATAAAGATGTGTATTCAGCTAGCTTGCCGTAAAGAAGAGCCTGGTCATGATCTGCCACTGAGTCTTGTATGAACCAGCTCTGAATTAGACAAGTCATTTGTCTGGAGTCCAGTTTCCTGTCTGTAAAATGAAGATAGTAATATCTGTTGTGCCTGCTTGCCAGGGTTGCAGTGAGCTTGAATGAGGTAATAGATGTCAACTTCTATAAACCTGGGCTTTAAATGTGCCCATGGTAAATTATGTCTTCTGCTTAATACATTCTTTACTGCATTTTAAATTAAGAGCAAGAAAGATGGGGTCCATTTGCATTGAAACCTCATTCATAACCACCTTGCCCTTGAGTTCTTGCTGGTCTGAGGGGTTAAGCCCCATTCTGTAGGATACTTAGCAGGGAGGTGGTAGCTATTACTATCTTTGGATGAATTCTCCCAATACCTAAATGTTTGGGGAAGTATCTCAGGTTCTACCTCTTGGGAATTCTGAGGGGGCTTTTTGTTTTGTTGCCTTGTGTGTTTTAGATTAGGGTCTCCTGCAGCTCAGGCAAGTCTTGAAGTGGGTGTTTACCTGAGTGTGACCTTGAATTCTTGGTTCTCCCTACTTCACCTTACAAGTGCTGGGTTATAAGCATGCAGAATGCTGGTTGGCTTGCATTTTGAGTTTTCTGTTTGGCTGGTTTTTCATGATGAATCATGTTAAAAGGCTGAATGGACAGTTGTTTCTCTGAAAGAGTAGTGGTCTTTTCTCACATTTGAAGTGTGTGGTCTAGACCTCCTTTCTCAGAGATGTACAAGAATCCTGTCAGCAGCTAACTGGCACAGGAAGCACATTCATTTAAAGAGACAGGAGGACCTCAATGTCAGAACATTCCTGTGCTCCCTGATGCTTCATTTCTTTAGCAGAAGGGGCATGCAGTGTGTTTTTGTTGCAAATATCCTTACTCCTAAGAAGGGTTCCAAGATGTTCTGTGGGTTGTTGGCCTCATCCAAGGCTGCCCTGTCGCTTGTAGTCTTTCCCCCACTTACCAGCCCTTTATTGGTCATGGCTGCAGTGATATGTAACATCTTGTCTTCTCTTTCAGCATGCTTTTCATTTCCACTGCATCTCTCGATGGCTCAAAACCAGGCAGGTGTGTCCCTTGGACAACAGAGAGTGGGAATTCCAAAAGTAGGTGTTTCACTTGTTTGGAGTTCTAAGTCTGTGTCTTGCAATGTCATTTTATTGGGCTCAAGCTGAAAGCAGCTGGAGTGGTGGGGCATGCCTCTCTTTTTTGTTTTTTTGAGACAAAGTCTAAGTTAGCTCTGGCTGTCCTGAAACTCACTCTTTAGACCAGGCTGCCCTCAAACTCAGAGATCCACTTGCCTCTGCCTCCTGAGTGGTAGGATTAAAGGCATTTACCATCACATCTTATTTCTAAACCAGGGTTTGAGAAAATAAACAGGAATTACCCAGCATTTTACAAGAGTTTTGATGGGAGATGTCATTCTGTAAATATGTTTCTCGTATTTGTTAGTGAATAAAGCACTGTTGGCCAATAGGAAAGCAAGATAGGCTGAACTAGGAGACGAGGAGAGAGGAAGTAGTAGGGAGGAGATTCAAGATGGAGGACCTACAGGGTAGTACGTCAGGCTCTCTCCGGTAAGATAAGACCACGTGGAAATACTTAGATTAATAGAAATGGGTTAATATTTAAGACAGAGCTAGCCTATAAGAAATGCTAATAACAGGCCAACAGTGCTTTATTCATTAACCAATACGAGAAACATATTTACAGAATGACATTTACCATCAGAGATTTTTTTCAATCTGCTATGTCTATCAAAGTGAAAAATATGGGAATCAAAAAACGATGGTCAAGTATTCCCAGAGCTAGGGGGGTAAAAGCACAGTGGTAGGATACTTGCCTAGCATGTGCACGGTCCAGGATTCAGTCCCTAGTATCACTGAAATGAGTCAGTAAATCTCCATAATCTAATCCTGATAGTTCCATTATGCAAACTTTCATTGCCCACCTGTTACCTTTCTGTGGGTGTGGGGGGAGTGATGATCTAGTGATGTTTGGAGTCTCTTGGTGTAGCCCTGACTGGCCTGGGACTGGCCCTGACTGGACTCCTGTCTCTGCCTACTCAGTGCAGGAGTCATAGATGTATCCACCAAAACAACTTTTGTTATTTGGGGCTGTTTATTTTTTCCTTGAGACAGCATCTCATTCTGTAATTCAGACTGGGCTCAAATTCATTAGGATCCTCTCACCTCAGGTGCCAAGTTAGTTAAGCTGGGTGGCTTAACTCAGTAGATGCTGACAGCCAACGTAAAGCTATTTGATCACATTTTTATTATTAAACAAATCTAAGTCAGTTGTGGTAGGGAATGCCCTTGGTCCCAGAACTTGAGTCTGAGGCCAGCCTGGTATACAGAGTGAGTTCCAGAACAGCCAGAGCTACACAGAAATGCTGTCTGGAAAAAGAAACTAACAAAAAAAAAAGTGTGTTTTAGGGTTTTATTCTCCAGCATTCTCATGAGGTCCTTTGTTTTGTCTTTCAGGTATGGGCACTAGAAAAGACTCTCCCTAAAGCTCACCCATTTGTTACTGGTGTAGTGACTCACCTTCCTGTTAATTATAAATTACATAGAACCGTGGTTTTTTTTTTTTTTTTTTTCTTTGTTTTTGGAGTTTACTGTTCCCACAGCCATATTGTATTTTGTGTCAAATAAAGTGGTTAAGTTCGAGAATGGTTGCTGTCTTGTGTATATGGAAAGAGTGACCTGAAAAGGGGGCTCTTCAGTGCCAGAAACCACCTCAAAAAGTGCACTGTCATCACCAGAACGGAGGTGTCCTGCAGGTGTATCATCATCACAAGGTCACGGGACCTGTACAGGCTGGAGTTGTGGGTCACTCCCACCCAGACACACCGAGGGCTCTGTCTTCTTCCTTCTGAAATAGCACCGGGCAGCCAGACGAGGAAGGACATGGGACTCATCCTAGCTCAGTCCTAGCCCATAGCTTCAGTGGCGGCCTTGAACCAACCAGGTCTGCTTAAGAATGTGCAAATGGGCTTGGTAAACTCTGAAACACTACAGGGTCAGTGCTGGTCGTGTACAGCATGTTGCATTCTCTAGTTTAGAACAAAACTTTAAAAATAATACTACTATGTAATCTTGTGGTTTTTAAAACTAAAGTTAAAAATTGATGTTTTGACAGTTTGAGTATATGCCTGTAATCCCAGGTACTTGAGAACCAAAAAGGATCCCTGCAGTCTGGGAGACTTTGTTTCCAAAACAAATTCCAGTTTGGGGGCTGGGGGGTATGGCTCAACAGTGTGGTGTTTGCCCAAGGCTCTGGGTTTAATTGCTAGCCTAAATAAGTAGTAAAAAATGTTCAAGTTGTATTAACAAGAACTCAAGTTTCCTTTAAACATGCTAGCCATGGAAGTAGTTGTCATTCTGATGCTGCCAGTGGCTGTAGTCTCTACTGAGAAAGGTTGTTTGCTGTGGCTTTTAGTGGCTAATGGTTCTGCAGGAATTCTGAAATCCTTCCTTCCTTGCAGCTCCAGGTGAAAGCACGCTTCATTTGCTTCAAAGCAGTGCTCAAATGAAGCAGAACTCAGACTCCAGCTGCCACCTTCTGTTGTCAGAAAAAAAGCTGCAAAAAATGTGAAACAATGCTGACTTTTTTTTCAAAATTAATTTTAATAAAAATATTTATGTTAATATGTGATGTTTCTGGATTTTTAAAATATGATTTTCAACATTAAATTCTGCTTTTCTGTTGTTTTTTCTGTGTAGGCCTATCTGCCCTGGGACTTTTTAGAACAGGCTGGCCTCAAACTCACAGAGATCTGCTAGCCTCTGCCTCCTAAGTGTGGGAATTAAAGGTGTATGTCACCACCACCCAGTTTACATTTCTGCTGTTTAGAAAATACTTTTTTTGAGACAGAGTTTCTCTGTGTAACAGCCCTAGCTGTCCTGGAACTATCTCTGTAGACCAGGCTGTCTTTGAACTCAGAGCTATCTGCCTGCCTCTGTCTTCAAGTGCTGTGATTAAAGTGTTCGCCACCACTGTTTCTATCTCTCTCTTTTTTTTTTTTTTTTTTTTTTTTTTCCTTTTAAAGACTTACTATGGGTGGGTAGAGAGATGGCTCAGAGGTTAAGAGCACTGGCAGGTCTTCCAGAGGTCCTGAGTTCAATTCTCAGCAACCACACAGTGGCTAACAACCATCTATAATGGGATTTGGTGCCCTCTTCTGGTGTGCAGGCATACATGGAGCTAAAATGGTGTATACATAATAAATGTTTTTTTAAAAAAAAAAAAAAAAAAAAACTTTATTTTTTGTAAAAACTACTTATTATGTATAAACTGTTATGCCTTCACGTTTGCCTGTAGGCCATGAAGGCACCACATCTCATTAAGGATGGTTGTGAGTTACCATGTGGTTACTGAGAATTGAACTCAGTGCTCTTAACCACTGAGCCATCTCTCCTTTTTTATCCTTTTGGTGGGTGGCAGTGTAGATGCTCATGAGTGTGCCTGTGGAAGTTGCCATTGGGTGTCCTCTTATCATTCTCCACCTTTTCTCTATAAGGCCTCACACTGAACAGGGAGCTTGCCAATTGGTCAGACTGCCTTGGGTCCTCCTGCATCTGCCACCCATCGCTTCACCTGATTACATGGGTCGTGGAGATTAAACTCAGATTTGCCAGACAGCCACTTTACTGACAGCCATTTCCATCTCCATAACATTTGCTTTCACAGTTTGTTACCAATTATGGTGTATATAGTGTAGAATTCTGTCCTCTGAGCAGTGGCCACCATTTCCCTCAGCTCATCAGCTGGCAGCATTTACATGCCCTTCTGGAAGCAGGTGGGAAGGGAGCCAATGAGATTCCAGCCGTGCCTTCCAGGCACCAGTATACAATTCTACTCTGATTGCCAGTGGCCTGGGGATCTCTGGAACTTCCTATACAGGATGCTTAGCTGGAAGCTGGCATCCTTACTGGGTGGAGAACTTCCAGTCTGACTGTTCTGTGGTCATCCTCACTTCTGCTAGTGACCCTGTGTCCTGTAAGTAAGCACAATAAGCTCACTGGTTCCCCAGAATGAACTTGGATGGAATTGGACTTTGATTTGTCATTAGGACCTTAGGAGTGTGGGGTGGACACTTTTCTCCCCAGAAAGGAATTCTCCCAACATACAGATAACTCAAGTAAATATTTGGGTTTTAACTTCTAGAATCTTGCTGTTTGGTTGGATTTCTTGTTACTTTGGGTTTTTGTTTTTGTTTTGTTTTTTTATTTTTCAAGATAGGGTTTCTTTCCAGGCATTGGTGGCACATGCCTTTAATCCCAGCACTCGGGAGGCAGAGGCAGGTGGGTCTCTGAGTTTGAGGCCAGCCTGATCTACAGAGCAAGTTCCAGAACAGGCTCCAAAGCAACAAAGAGAAACCATGTCTCAAAAAAAAAACAAAACAAACAAAAAAAAAAAAAAAAAAAAAACAGACAAGGTTTCACTATTGCTTTAGAGCCTGTCCTGGACCTTGCTCAGTAGGTAAGGCTGGCCTCGATTACTTTTGTTATTTTTAAACAGTCTCACTATATAGCCCTAACTGGTCTGGAACTTACTATGTTAACCTAGCTGGTCTCAAACTTACTTACACAGATTTTTAATTTTTTTTAGGATCATAAAAGGGATAATGGAAACTAGAAATTATGCAAACCCCTAGTAATAAAGACCTTTAAGGTGTAGCTTAGATTAAACCTCACTTTTCCACTTAGCTTTCTCTGAGTGTCAGGAACACAGTAATCATGCAGTTACATTTTAGGGCTCCCTCCTTCACCTTGTCACCTTAACTTCTTTCCAGGTTAAGTTCAAGCTGCATAAGTAATTCCTTGGGTGAACATATTGCTCGATATTCACCCAGGTAACACATTTGGAATATACTCCTGTATAGTCTAAACAACTGGGTCAGAGAGATGATCAAACAAGTTGAAATTAAAAAAAAAATAATTTAGTTCCAGCACTCAGGAGACAGAGGCAGGCAGATCTCTGTGAGTTCGAGGCCAGCCTGGTCTACAGAACAAGTTCCAGTACAGCTTCTGGGCATGGCCTGGGACTGAGATTGGCAGAGGGTGTCAGGATTGAAACACTTAACAGAGACCACCAAGAGAAGTTAAGAAGAAGCTGCTGCCACCACTGTTTGTTACAGAGAGTAATGGGCTTATATACCCAAAGCCAGGGAGGGGATGGGCTAAGCACACTTGACCTGGGGTCAAGGTATGGGCACTGCACACTGGAAAGTTATGAGAATAACCTTGTTTGTTCAACCTTGTTTGCACGGAAGTTCTACAGCTGGATGGGGAGAAGAGAGCTGTAAGGGACAAGTACTTAATTTTCCCAACAGCTTCCAAAACCACAGAGAAACCCTGTCTCGAAAAACAAAACACACACACAAAATATTAAGCCCCGTACTTGGAATTTGGGGGCAAAAGAATCATTTTTTACTTCATAATTATGGCTAGTCTAGCTACAAGACACCCTGTCTTAAACAAATTCCAACATCAGATTATAAATTGGTCTGGGGTAGGACCCAAACCTGTCCCTTTTATCAGAGTTATTTCAGAGGATTGTTTATTCAGCCAACTATGTAGACCTAGAACTAAATTAGGGGAGATTGCAAGGGGATGGAAAAATAAGTAGTTGAATATACTGATTCTGCAGAGATACACAGAACCAGAGCCCGGGTTTGATAATTGAGGTACCCAGACTCCCCTGCCTCCTTCTGAGAGTGGTACCTGTGGACTCTTCCTCCAGCTGCCTTCTGCCATGAGAGCAGACATCATGTTTATTTCCTTACTTGGCCTGGGAGACCCTGTCTTTCTCCATAGCCACAGTGTCCTGGATCACTGCCCAAAGCTCAATGAATGTAACCTATGCTGCCCTGGGATTCACCATGTAGTCCAGGCTAATTTCAATTGACAGCACTTCTTCCTCCACCTCAAAAGCTGGGATTATAGGCCCAATTCAACACGGTTGGCTCCTGGACCTTTGGGTGACTCTAAACTACACATGAGCAGAAGAAGCCATTGAGTTTACATTCATAGTAATCCCACTCCCACTCATTGTTTTGCTGAGACAGGGTCTCAAGATACCCCTGAGTTTGCCAAGGTAGGCCTTGAATTTGGGATACTCCTGGTTCAGCCTCCGTGAGTGCTGGAATTATGTAGCCTGGGCCATCATGCCCAGCTGCCCCAGCCTTTCATTTTAGCATTCAGCAGGCAGAGGCAGGTAGATCTCTGTGAAGTCCCTGGTCTACTTTCACTGACAAACTGCCCATACAGGTGGACAGTTTAAAATTTCCTGCTTCGCTGAGAAATCTGCCAGACACACTATGGCCTATAGGCTAAAGATGGATGTCCCAACATTACAGAAGAACTTTGGGTGACTGTCCAGGTAGCGAGATGTGTCTGTCAATCCTTCTGTGGTCTTTAATGGAGTTGAAGACAGATAGTTATTGTTATGGTTTCCCTTGGTTATGATAAAAGATAAGTTACATATAAAACTCTGGACTAAGAAAGAGAGGATAGATGAGAGAATATTTTCTTTAAATTTTGCCAAAGGTTAATGGACTAAATATTGCTAACTATCGTTCTTGCTTGATAACTGTTTTGTTACATATAAATTTACTCTGTTATGTTGTAACCTTTCTTTTTATTTAGACAGAAAAGAGAAGATGATG